AATCAAAACCAGGGCACGATCGAAAACCTAAGACCCGATTGATAACAGATGGTCTCAGAGTAATGGGGACTGACCTAACAATTATCTGAAATTTTGACTCCTTAGGATCAACAGGAAAGTTAGAGTAAAATTCTTGAATTACAGAGGCATTAAACTTATCAGAGAGAGAGTTTGGTAGTGCTCCAAAATTTGATTTGCAAACTCCTGAGCAGCCAAAGGAATAGCATCAAACTGGTAAGACCTCTCAGGAACAAATTTCCTTTTGGAGACAACTTCTTCAAAGAAGGAGGCAGCCTTAGAAGACACAAATGGAGAGGAATCTCCGACAGGAACAGAGGAAGAGGGACGGGTTCTAGGAGCCCTAGGAATTGAGGGAATGAAATCCACACTTTCAGTGGATTTGGATTTGGAACGACGGTGGTAAGTGAGGATAGGCTTTGAGGAAGACATGGCTAGCAGCGGGAATGAATTTCGAAGAGAGAAAAAAAAAATGAAATGAAGAAGAAGACGAGACTGTCGAGAACAGAGAGAGAGAGAAGAGGCAAACGAAAACGAGGAAGAAGAGGAAAAGAAAAGACCTAAAAAGGAAAAAGACGCAAACGACACGACCCCAAAAAAAAGAACCGCTCAAAACCAAAAATGAAAAAAATAAAATAACCGCCAAAACGAAGAAAAGAAAATGCCGAAGTGTAACATGTTTCTGAAAGTCCAAGGCCTTGGTGAGTATATCTGCTAGCTGTTTTTCAGAGGGAACAAATTTCAAAGATAAAATGTTGTCTTCCACAAGATCTCTAATAAAATGGTGCCTAATGTCTATATGCTTAGTCCTAGAGTGTTGAACAGGATTTTTTGAAATATCTATGGCACTCATGTTGTCACAATAGATTAGAAAGGATGATTGAGCAAGACCATAGTCTTCCAACATTTGTCTCATCCAAAGGAGTTGAGTACAACAACTCCCAGCTGCAACATACTCTGCTTCAGCAGTGGATAAGGAGACAGAATTCTGTTTTTTGCTATGCCAAGCAACAAGATTGTTGCCTACATAGAAGACCCCCCCGGAAGTGCTTTTCCTATCATCACTACAACCTGCCCAATCGGCATCACTATACCCAACAAGATTGACACAAGTGTCATAGGTATACCATAATCCAAACTCAATAGTCCCACTCACATATTTTATGATTCTCTTAACAGCAAACAAGTGAGACTCTTTTGGATCACTTTGAAACCGAGCACACACACCAACACTAAAAGAAATGTCAGGTCTACTAGCAGTCAAGTAGAGAAGACTCCCTATCATGCTTCTATAGAGAGTTTGATCCACACTTTTGCCATGCAAGTCTCTATGAATCTTAGCACTAGTGCTCATTGGAGTTCTTGCAGATTTTGCCCCCTCCAAACCAAATTTTGTCACAAGATTTTTTGCATATTTAGATTGAGATACAAAGATCCCATCATGGCTTTGTTTAATTTGAAGACCTAAGAAATAGTTAAGCTCACCTACAAGACTCATTTCAAATTCACTAGTCATGACATGAATAAAATCTTGAACATGCAAATCAGAGGTAGAACCAACCACAATATCATCAACATACACTTGAGCAATCAAGACATCCTTCTTAAACCGTTTCACAAACAAAGTTTTATCAACAGACCCTCTAACATACCCATTTCCTAGAAGATGAGAGGATAACCTCTCATACCATGCTCTAGGAGCTTGTTTCAAACCATAGAGAGCCTTTTTTAACCGAAACACATCATTTGGATGATGTGGATCTTCAAAACCCTTTGGTTGCTCAACATAGACCTCTTCATTTAGGACACCATTCAAGAAGGCAGTTTTGACATCCATTTGATAAAGTTTGAATTTCAAATGACAAGCAATGGCAAGAAGCAATCTAACTGATTCTAATCTTGCAACAGGGGCAAAAGTTTCATCAAAGTCAATGCCTTCCATTTGAGTGTATCCTTGAGCAACCAATCTAGCCTTGTTTCTTACCACATTACCTTGCTCATCGGTTTTATTTTTGAAAATCCACTTAGTGCCTATGACATTAGTGTTGACTGGTCTAGGAACAAGGTACCAAACATCATTTCTCACAAATTGATTTAATTCTTCCTGCATTGCAAGAAACCATTCACCATGGTGTAGGGCTTCTTTCACATTTCTAGGCTCTTCCTTGGAGACATAACACACATGGCTAATTTCTTGAGCAAGTTGCTTCCTAGTTCTCACTCCCTGATTAAGAGGGCCAATAATGACACTCTCAGTTTGAGTGAGAGGACTAAGATCAGTATGAGAGCTGGCAGCCTGGACAGATGAGATGGAACTAGGAGTTGAAAACAATGGCAAGAAGCAATCTAACTGATTCTAATCTTGCAACAGGGGCAAAAGTTTCATCAAAGTCAATGCCTTCCATTTGAGTGTATCCTTGAGCAACCAATCTAGCCTTGTTTCTTACCACATTACCTTGCTCATCGATTTTATTTTTGAAAATCTACTTAGTGCCTATGACATTTGTGTTGACTGGTCTAGGAACAAGGTACCAAACATCATTTCTCACAAATTGATTTAATTCTTCCTGCATTGCAAGAAACCATTCACCATGGTGTAGGGCTTCTTTCACATTTCTAGGCTCTTCCTTGGAGACATAACACACATGGCTAATTTCTTGAGCAAGTTGCTTCCTAGTTCTCACTCCCTGATTAAGAGGGCCAATAATGACACTCTCAGTTTGAGTGAGAGGACTAAGATCAGTATGAGAGCTGGCAGCCTGGACAGATGGGATGGAACTAGAAGTTGAAAAAGTTGACAGGTCAACCGGGACAGAATTTCCAAAAGTTGACAGGTCAACCACAAGATCCAGACCTGGAGATTCTTGCTCAGGAGGAGGAGGAGGTAAAAGATCATCCTCATCCAATGCCATCTCTGTAGATGCAGCAAAATCATCAATAGTGACATTTATGGATTCAATGATGGTTCTGGACCTACAGTTGTACACTCTATAGGCTCGGCTTGAGGTGGAATACCCTAGAAATATTCCCTTATCACACTTAGAATCAAACTTAGCAAGATGCTCCCTATCTCTCAAAATATAGCATGTGCTACCAAAGACCCTAAAATATGACACATTAGGCTTCTTTCCTTTCCAAATCTCATAGGGAGTTTGTTTGGTACCAGACCTCACAAATACCCTGTTTGAGATGTAACAAGCTGTATTGACAGCTTCAGCCCAAAAGTGTTTAGCAAGATTTTTGCTATTTAGCATCACCCTTGCCATTTCTACAAGCACCCTATTCTTTCTCTCCACAACACCATTTTGCTGAGGTGTAATAGGTGCAGAGAACTCATGTTTAATTCCCATTTCTTCACAAAATTTCAGAAACTGAGAATTCTCAAATTCAGTGCCATGATCTGTTCTAATTCTAACAAGAGGTAGATGACTAGTCATCTTCTCTTTTTGCAAAAGGTGACAAACAGACTTAAACCTTTGGAAGGTTTCAGATTTCTCACGTAAGAATGAGACCCAAGTGAACCTAGAGAAATCATCAACCATGACAAGAATATATTTCTTTCCACCAAGGGACATGGTTTGGATAGGACCAACAAGATCCATGTGAACAAGTTCTAGACTAACATTAGTTTGAATGTGTTTAACCTTTTTGTGTGACACTCTAACTTGTTTGCCTAATTGACATCCTTCACAAACATGCAGGTCAGATTTTTCAAGCTTTGGTAGACCACTTACTAACTCTCTCTTGGACAATTTATGCAAGTCTCTAAAATTCACATGTCCAAGCCTTTGATGCCACAAAACACTTGTTTCATTTACAACCTTGTTGCAAAATACTTTTTTTGCATCATTGACACCATCAAAGAAGTAGCAATTGTCCCTAGACCTTGCCACGCTAACAATCTCATTGTCACCTTTTCCAATGATTTTGCAGCCATGCTTGGAGAATCTAACCTCTACTATTCCATCGTCACACAGCTGACTCACACTAATGAGATTGGATGTGAGACCCTCAACAAATCTAACATTCTTAAGCTCGGGCAGACCAGGGATACAAACAGTACCTTTTCCAACAACTTGAGACCTATGACCTCCACCAAAAGTCACAGTGCCTCCATCAAAGGGGGTGAGGGATGAGAAAACATTTTTATCCCCAGACATATGTTTGGAACAACCACTATCAAAATACCAAGAGTTGGTGTTTGAAGCAGCAAAGGCATTTAGCACAACAAGAGATTTGGTATGACCTCTTGCAATCCAAGTAGACTTAGGCACAATGGGAGAACTCATTTTGAGGGAGACAAGTTTGGCTATCTTAGTAACTTCATTCATCAAATGATCAACTTGATCTTGCAAAGATCTGGGATTCCTTTTAGATTTTGAAGACAATTTTCTGGTTTTATCTTTGCTAAACATATGACAGACTGGTCGAATATGACCAGTCAACCCACACCTGTGACAAGTTGGAACAAACTTAGGTTTCTTGACAACCTGCTGAATATCAAGAGGTACAGTGACTGGAGTTTCTGATTTGACAAAATTAGTGGTAAAGCTAGACGAACTAGAACCAAAGTGATTAAATCCAAGGCCACCTTTGTCCCCATGAACTTTTCCCATATTCAACATTTTGTCAATTTTTGAAGCACCAATGGTCATAGATATAATCTTCCTATTTGCTTCATTCAATTCACCTAGGAGCTGTTTGTTTGAGTTCTGGAAACCAATGTTACTTTCCTTGAGCACATTAACTTGATTCTCAAGGTTACTCCTAATTGACACAAGAGCATCACTTTCTTTTTCTAGAGACTCAAATTTGTCACTTAACTCCTTTTTGGTTTCTTTTAGGATGAGAATTTCATGTTGAAGATCTTGGTTATTAACCTCAAGTTTGAGGCTCTCTTCTTTCAAACACAAGGTCTCTTTAAACAAACAATCATATTTTCTTCCTAATGACTCGTATGACAGGTCATCTGACTCGGAATCAGATTCATCAGACATGGGCTGCACAGAGGCAACAAAGGCAACATGTTGGTCATCAACATCAGAGGAAGATGAATCCTCTTGAGACCCTTCACTTTCACTCTCACTCCAGCTCACTTTCATGGCCTTGTCCTTTCCTTTGGAGTATTTTTTCTGATTGTTTGCACAGTCAGCAGCATAGTGTCCAATGCCTCCACATGTGAAGCACTTGACAGATTTTCTGAAATCTTTCGTGAAAGGTTTGACATCCTTATTCCTCTCATTAGACCGATCAGTTGATGGTCTAAACAGTTTCTCACTACCAGAGCTGCCCTCTCTAGCAAACTTTCCCTTATCCTTAAGAATTCTCCTAAATTTTTTGACAAACAAGGCCATCTCATCCTCAAAACCTGAGGATTTTTCATCAACTTTCAGAGAGGAAACATGCACTCCTTGAAGTGCAACATTTTTTGATTTTTTGGAGTCATTTTCTTCCATATTCAATTCCATCTCATAGGTTTTCAGTTTTCCTACAAGCTTGCCAAGCTTAATTTCATTTAAATTTTGGACCTCCATGATTGCGGTTTTCTTTGCTCTAAACCTAGATGGTAGAACACGAAGAATTTTCTGAACAACAAGAAGCTCTTCAATGGGTTGACCTAGACTCATGGCTTCATTTGTGATCATCTCAACTCTCCCATGGAACTCAGAAATAGACTCAGTTTCAGACATCCTAAGTTCTTCAAATTGTGCAAGCACCATCTGAAGTTTTAGGGTTCTAACTTGGTCATCCCCTTCATGAACCACCCTTAGTTTATCCCAAGCTTGTTTAGCATTAGGGATATGTTGTATATGTGCAAATTGTGTGCTAGACAAAGCTGTAACTAACGCATTTCTGGCCTTCTTGTTTGAATATGCACCAAACACCTCAGCTTCAGTCCATTCTGACCTAGGTTTGGGCACAACCTCACCAAAAACAGTCTTGACTTGAGCAACCCACTCTTTTGTGAGATACTCACTTGCATACTCATCAAGAGCATCAAGAAATATCTCAAATTTTTCTCTCCATGCAGCGTAGTTATTACCGTCAAAATAGGGAGGGGAGTTGCAAGATCCAGCAACTCGATCCCTTTCCATAGTGAACACACCTAAACACCAAAACAAATCCTAGGATCTCTCTATTTGTGTTAAGAGCTGATGCTCTGATACCAATTGAAATTGGTACTTAGGTGACTAATGGTAAATTTAA